GTTCTTACTTATATTAAGTAATGAGTATTAATTATTTAATTTTTTCATTTTTCTTGTGCTTGGGTTCGACTCAATGCTTGTCATTTATTTGTTTTTAAATTATCAATCTTCTACTTATAATTTATAAGATTGTTTCATGATATTAATTTTGAAGATATCAACAAAAACTCTTAATATTACTTGTCTACTATTCTCTCAATCCCCTTTCAATTTGTCAAAGCCTTTTGAGTTTAAATTTGGTTTTTAACTCAATTAACAATGTGTGTTGGTGAGTTTAATAAAATAGTTTGTATTAAAATCATATCCAAATTTGTKCAGTAACAGGTCACAGTAATGCAAATTCTGAGCTAGTAAAAGGGTGTTGCCAAGGTCACAAACAATTTTTTACACAGAATTAAATTTCTACTAACAAATTATTTTAATTTTAGAATCACTCATCCATAAATATCAATTCATTTTATGATAACATTAGCCATTACATTATAATCAATGAATATAATAGATGATTTTATTTTTTATTTTACTAGGTTGCCTATCTCGTATGCGCCCTCGTTATAAACGACTTGTTGATAACATCTTCCCATCTGTACCTCAGGTAAATTACTTATATTACTAAWATTTTTCTAATATATCTTTATAAATGACGCTCATTTGATAATTTATGTAATAATGTAACCTAGGATGGCTTGGTGAAGAATAATATGGAAAAGTTAACATTCTATGCTTTATCGTCACCAGAAAAATTGGACCGCATTGGTGAATATCTATTTCAGAAGGCTAGTAGAGACATCTCTCGCAAGAGAAATGAGTAAGCTATATTTAAGTTAAAAAATCAAAGAAATGGTCTAATATTTTTAATTTTAGGTTTGTAATGATTGCTATGGAAGCTATGGACCAGCTCCTTGTAGCATGCCATGCCCAAACTTTAAATTTGTTTGTTGAAAGCTACTTACGCATCGTGCAAAAGCTACTTGAATCATCGGAACCCAGTTTACAAATACTAGCCACACAATCGGTACCAACATTCATTCAATTTTGTAGTTAAATAAAATTAAATAATTAATACAGATTAACAGCTTTTATTTTGTTTTTTAGTTTGTGCGATTTTCTAATATCGAAGAAGATACTCCATCATATCATAGGCGATATGATTTTTTTGTTTCTAAATTTTCTTCCATGTGTCATAACAACAATCCAAATTTGGTCACTATGGAAATGATTCGAATGGCAGGCATTAAAGGCATTCAAGTACCTAAATATTGAATTTAAATATTTTCTATAGTATACATCTTGATCTAAATAAATGATAAAATGTATTTTTTACTCTGCTTTTAGGGAGTTATCAGGAAAACAGTCTCTGATGATTTAGTCGAAAATATCTGGGAACCTGTTCACATGGACAAAATTGTTCCGTCTTTATTATTTAATATGCATACAATGAAGTATGTGTTATATTCGTAATCAAGTAACTTTTTAGTACCTTTTTGTTTTCTATTATGAGCTATTATTTATATGTGGTCTAAAAAATTTAGATTGTGTTGAGTTTTTTTTTTTTATATTTTTTTTCAGTCTTTATGATAAATTACACACAGTAATGATTGTATAAGCAATGTTATAATATAATTAAATATATAATATGAATGTTGATAGTATTTCAAGTAAGGCAATAAAATATAATCAATACATCTTACTATAAATCTTGCCACAGTAGAACATATAAAACTAGAAATAACTACTTAACAGTTAATATCAAACTATTAAATTGTTTTTAAACTTTCTTTATTAAAATTACTATTCATATTTTTTTAGATCAAAAACTGATATAGTTGTTGAAAGTGGAATTTCAGAAGAGGTCAATGATAAAACTGATTCATTTTCATTAGCAGAATCTTGTTTAAGAGAGTTGATTGGACGTGCATCATTTGGTCATGTTAAAAGTGTCATTCGCCCTGTGCTAAAGTAATAGACAAACTCATAATTTAAGATATTTTTATAAAAAATTTTTTTTTTTTAATTTAGACATCTTGACGCTCATCATATGTGGGTGCCAAATGTATTTGCTACACAGTGTTTTCGTATTTTAATGTTTTCAATTCAATCTCAATATTCATATGCTGTTGTGGAGACTCTGATGACACATTTGGATGAAAACAGCAACGCTTCTCCCAAAATTCGGACCAGTATTGCTGATGTACTATCAAAGATTATTGCTATTGCAGCTAATGAAAGTGTTGGACCAACAGTATTAGAAATAATAAATTCCTTGCTTACAAATCTGCGTACATCAGTCACTAGGCGCCCACCATCTAACATTGGCCTTTCTGAATCTGATGGTGAAAATGAATATAGAGAAGCACTTATACATGCTCTTGGAGAATTTGCTGCCCATTTGCCTGACTATCAAAAAATTGAAATCATGATGTTTATTATGTCCAAAGTACCACAATTCAAATCTTCAAATAATCCTAATGATCTTCATGTACAAAGAATGTGCTTAAAATCTCTTTTGATGGTATTTATTCTTTTTAYATGTTGTCTATGTTATTTATTACAATTAACCTTCAATATAACCAAAATAATTTTATTATTATATAATAGGTGAGCACCAAGTATAGTTCAGTACAAATGAATGCTACTTTTCCCCAATCGTTCTTGGATTTATTRTTGAAAACATTAACTGCTGCTGAAGACGAAATTCGCTTTATTGTCTTACGCATATTACATACACTCTTGGACAGGCATAATAATGCATCTAAGCTCTCCAAAGCTACGTAMGTTTTTAATTGAAAATACTTTAAAACATTCATTGATAATAACAATAATAAAAATGATTTTCTATTTTATAGGGTGAATATCTCCAAATCTGATATAAACCTAGAGAAATGTTCTCGCAGTGATACAATATTTATCCGAAAACACGCTCAAGATATTTATGTATCTATCTATGAAAGCTTAGAAATGACTAACAATACTGTTGACAATATTGAGGCTGTGTACACAACTTTGGCTTTAATATGTATTGAATTATTGTCYGAGGAAACTGTTTTAGACTTTATCAGACTGATTTTAAGTGTACAGGAGCTAGCCATTACTAACGCTGTACTTTCAACGCAACAGAAATTCCAATTGCATGGTTTGGTTATTAGTGTTATCCTCTTGGTAGCCATTGTGACAGATTTACATCCTCTCAAGGACTATGTGGATAAAGTAAAAAATATAAATAATATAACAATTATATATTATGCAGAACATTAACAAAAATTGTTTTTCAGGTAATTGAACAGAGAAAATTATTAAATGCTACTCATTTGTTACCAGAATTAAGTGTACATAATGAAGTGAAGTCGGCCAGTCTATTGCCAGCTGGTGTTTTAATTGAAGAACCTGAACTAACTGAAGCTTTAAAGGCTTCGGGAATTGATATTACAAGTTTGTTTTAATTTAATATTTATAGTATGCCTAATTATTAGAAAGTTATTTATAATTGTGTTTTGGAGTTATTACGAGTGTATATTTTTAAATTTTATTTAACATAAAATGTACGTCTTAACTATCAAAGACAATTTTATTTTCAAAAAATAATTATTATTTCATCCAAATACTCTTCCATTTACTTTGTAAAATTTACTTAGTAAAATTGTTTGATCTTTATTATTTTTTAATAACTAATAATTTTTACTGTATTTTTAGCTGAGACTGGTCCAGTACTGGTACATAGACGTAGCTGGGTTGAAAATACCAATATGTCTATGAAAGGAAGTTTCACTGATCTGAGCAATTTAGATTTAGATAGCGTCAATTCCACTCCAGCAATGCAAAGAGTCAGTGATAATTAAGAATTATTTTATAATTAAATTTATGATAAACTTATTTTAAAATGAAATCGTATTTTCTGTAGCGTTTTTCTCCAAATGAAGACCTTTCATTTGAAGCAATGAAACGTTCACTGTTGGACAACMCTGCAGTCAGAGTAGAACAAAATACCAGGCAGACYCAACTGTGCGATATGTTCAGAAACACATCATTCCAAGATTTAGTGGCAATTTCCACTGCATCAAAGGTAATTATTCAGTGTGTWCTTATAAAAATCTTGTCCATAAGTTTGCTCATATGTAAAACATATTTATATTCAGGATGAAGAATCATTGCATTCAAAAATAACTGATGTGTTCAACAGAGTGGATATGTCGAACAAGCAATCAACTGTTGAAACCACTAAACAGCCTAAACCCATCTATGAGACACTGTTCCCAGAATTATTTGCATTTTAACAATTTATATATTTTATTGACATATTGACAGAATMATTTTAATGTTGAGTCTACTTAATAAGTTGATTACATTTTATTGTTGTTATAACCTACTTATATCAATATGTATTAGGCCAAGCTTTTTGTGCATATTCATTGTATTAAGCCATTGGTATTGTTACCAAGGTGATGTTTCGTTTAAAAATATATTTATATTTGTTGTGGTTTTWATTATTTTGAGTTATTTTTTCCATTTGCATACTACAAAAATTCATCAATAAGTGTACACACAACTGYTACATTAAAAGTTTCTTACTTAATCAGTAAATCAACAGTAGAAATAATATTATTATTAGATAATAGATACATTATGTTTTCTCAGATGCAGTAATGTTTTTCTTGAGTTTGCTACTCCATTTCAACATTACTACCCAAAAATTAAAACATTTAAAATAGGCAACTCAAACTGTTTACCTCAGATATGATAAAACAAATTTAGTCATGATCAGTGTTTGGAAAAAATGTTGTTCATGRACGATATRCGAAAGTTACTCAGTCTTTTCAAATAGAATACAAACGTTTAAATTTTTAATGAATTTGAACAATTTTACTCTYGATTTAMTTGTGTTCCTGTTTTAAGGACTGAACATTAAATGTAGAATTAATTTTTTTAGTGAACGTTCCGAACACTGATCATGATCATTGTGGTGAAATATTTAAATATTAYCCTTTTGATTTTTGTGAACCTAACTGAAACAGACCAGCATTAAAGCTTTATAAAATCAGCYATTTTCTAGTTATGYAGGGTAGAGGCAGTATAATAACCTGTATGGACAAGTAAAACTGAATCATAATTAAAATCAAAAATTTACCTTACAGGAAAATTATTACATCCTGTAGAACTGTAGGATTTTGATTAGTTTTATTTTATTTGATAGAAAAACTTTCATCAGGCCRCATCGAACTTGATTTTATCATTAACTTTTTTAAATAAAATCAGAATTATATTTCTCAGAGCCCTATCTGACCGGCATAGCTGTTCTAGATTATGTAGTGTCAAGTTATTAATTTTTTAATCAATCATTCTTTTCTGAGGGCAAATTCTCAGAGTGGAATTTATTAGTGTACTTAATTAACATTTTTAATATATTGTAGTTAGTTAGCAATGTAAGATCTTATTTTTGTGACATGAGTTTAATTTTTGATTTCTAGTTGACTTATTCCTGAAGCTGAATTTGCTGAATTCTTGAGCAAACTATTAGAAAAACCAGATTGTGGCTATTGATTCTCTAAATACTAACATGAAAATATTTAATTTTGAAATAAACTTTAAGAGTGAATTTGTAGTTTAAATATTTTACTTGATTTAACATTATTCCAGGTTAGTTCTGTGTAAAATAAGTAATAAAAAATTAAACATTATTATTGATGTTTCCAATTATTTTAATTTGCTAAAATAATAACAATGCAATAAAAACACTGATATCATTTATGTATTCGTATTTTCAACAAATAAACTACACAAATTGTTTTACATTGACATAGTCTGTTTTATTCCTTGCAGTTGACTATTTTGAATTTATATAACTATTTATAAAAAAAAAAAAAATATATAATACAAAATATCGGAACAATTAACTTTTCCATGTATTCTTTTCGTAGTCCCAATTTGAGGACAACCCATCAATTGGATCAACACGTAAGTCAATCATACGTTTCAATTGAGCTTGACGAGACTCAAGTGACAAAGATGGGTCATCAGCAGTGCTTGTTACTAAAAATKATAATCAATATGAAAAATTATAATCAAGTAGTGATAATCATAAATGATTTAACACTTAAAAATTAAAAATKAGTATAATAATAACAATACTTACAGAATTTACGAACTCCGACAAAAGAAAAAAGTGCAACAGAAACCCAAACCATGACCCATCCAAATATTGCTTTCCATTCACCAGTCGGTGCATCTACTTCAACTAATGTCTGACAAAAACTTGCTCTGTACAATTTTTTTTTTTCTTCAATACTCAGCTTTTTCCAGTCTCCCTTTTCTTTCTCACGCAGAGCCTAGAATTAGAATACATTAAACTATTCATTACTTATTAATCAATTATATTATTATTAAGCATTGGTACAATATAAAAGCCACTGATGCTATTAAGATTAACTTTATTTCATCTATGGACACGAGTATTTATTTAATAAAATATTATTTGCAACCCTTTATATTTTGAATYGGTTAAGTAATTATTAATAAGAATCAGTTACTAACRTAAATAGAGTAATTTTTATTTGGAAATAATTAACACAGCACTTGGGCATAATCTCTTTGRAAAAATTATCATTAAATCTGTTATATTTTATAAATATTGAACTTCTACAGATGGRTGTATATGTATTGTTTTGATACAAACAACTGTTWTAACTTAAGAACAAGKGTTATAATAGTCAATCAGATGTCGTCATACCCTCGTACCAATGCTCATCATTATTATTCAACAAAGAAAACCCATAATCATAAATAAATWATGTATATGGATATCGTACCATTATTTCGGGGGTATTCTTCATAAACCTAACGCTGGGGAACGGGAAGGTGATGGAGTCGAAGTATTGGGGTTCGCCGTTCAGACCGTAGCCAACAATGTCGCGGCCGACGATCTTATCCTCGCGCACCTGCATCACACCCTGTACGGGTGGCTTTGGCTCAGCCTGGAAGACGGCTGCCGTCGAGCTGTTGGCCGCCAGTTTGTTGTAAGTGGACGGGCGCGCCAAGATTGAACGGACTATTGCACGGGAATACATCTGAAACAACATCATATCAATATCGAAATKTAAGGAAATTTAGTATTCACGTTTTACTATGATACTATTTTTCAAAAACCATTTAATTCCACTCACCTTGGTAGAACGTAGTTACGATTAATTATCGAACGGCTAGAGCAGCAATAAAGCGCAAGAGGTTAAAAGGTAAAAAAACGATTTCAGAAAATTATTTCGCGTATAATCGTCAAGGGCTTGAAAATCAAATAAACACATGTTATGATAAGCCGACCAGTGCTGTAAGCGCGACATGAAAATCCGTTGCTTTTGTTGGCCACACTGTATCCATAATTTCCCGGGTTATTTCATTTAAAAAAAAAAACCATACTAGACAATTTATAATATAATGCGCAATATTTTATAGTTAATGTTTCGCCATTCCGCTCCTACTTTTGATTCGCAGTAAGCGGCCACAACTTTCGGGGTGTTGAGGACGGGAGAAGGTTACCCAGACAGTAAAATATAATGTATGGTAAGTACAATGCCAAACTTAAATACATCGCAATGCGCATGARATGTAAAATGACAACATTCGATAATAGCAATAATAATATTATAGGTGAGCGCCCTCCACACAAGATGATACAAATAAATAAATAACAAATATTTTAATATRATATAACACGAGTGTGTGAGATAGCGATTACATCAATACATATAACTAAAACATACGCGTATGTGCAGGCGTTGGCGAGTCACCTCTATAACCACCGGGCAAATAAGTGATGTGTGTACGACCTGAAATGTGGCATTCG